TTCCCTCTGATAGATGGTCTCATCAAGTTGCACGAATAACATTCAATCATGTACATCTCAATTAGTTTCATGATTACCATCTGATTTTTAACAGCTTAATTATTTCTGTTTTAAACAAAAGTGAGAGTGTTATTATTAATTCCTGTTTTATTATCTATGAGGGTGTATAAGTGTTTTTTCTATGTCTCTCAATAACTGAATATGAACAAAGTTTTGATTTGCAGTTACTTGAAAACATTATCATCAACATGTCCCAATATTAGAATAGTCAAATCTCTTCTTAGTTTCAGTATATTTGAAGAAGCTTGAGAATCAGTTGTTTACAACTAAATTGTTATCTTATCTAAGTTTTGTATGTCAATATACATATAGATATACACATCAATATCATTTTGTACAAGGTGTATGGAAAAATGAGAATGAAGTGGTACTGAGTTCAAGTGTTGGAGTGAACATCAACACTGAGATGCAGGTACATCCAGCTGATGATTCGCAAATAGAACGGAATGCGTGTTCTGGATTGCACTGCTATTCACTCTCCATCTTTGCTTACGATGCTTGTGATTTAAGGCAATATTGATGCAATCCGTACAGGATGCTCGTATGCCTACAGGAGAGTGATCGATTGCAGTCGTAAACATAAATAGGAAGTTTCAAGAAAACAATACCAAGTGAATTTGAATCATACTGATTTAACCAATCAACTTATATAAAGTAATAATTGACGAAATGGATGATAAAAATCATATTCTTACTTATCTCTACTAAATTTCTCTTCCTAGGTCATAATGTGCTTTAACATCAGATAAAGCTTGTATTTATAAACAAATCAAAGCAATATAAGTAGGCTTTAACAGAATATTTTCAAACAGAAAGATGCCAAGCAAATCTTACTTCGGTTAGATGTTCGTCAGCAGTATAATTTATAAACCATTCAGATTGTATACGTTTTTCACGATGCCCATAACTAAACGCTTATAAAACCTCTGGAATATACTGTCATCGGAGTTAACACTCTACTAGTCAAGTTATCAAAATCGAAAAAAATTATATATATCATAATCATTAATAAACTGAAATAACTACTGAGAGTCCTACTAAAAAAGCTGGTATGAACCATTTTTTATTGTCAAGATATCATTTTAAATGTAAGTTTTAGCATACAAAGAACTACATGGCTTAATCATAAATTCATAATCAGTAGGTTGGAAGAAATACAAACTGTTGTTTCTTATGCTTTATATAAGTATGATATATGTGTTTTAGTTATTCAACATTTGTCAACTTGACTGATGGAAGTAAATTTAAATAACTGAACTCAGCTTAACCTGCACAATTAAAATAATATGTATACATATTGATTAATAGTTGGATTCATAAATCGATTAAAGCTAGACCACAGTTGAAAATCTGGAAGCAGTGTACGACCGTTTCGTTCCAGTATAAGACTTCTCAGAATCCACGATCCCGCATGTAGGACTCGAACCCTTAACCTCTAGATCGTTGAACCGTCATCCAACAGTGTTAATGTTTAACTTCAACCATTCATGAAATTGCACCACCATCCACTATTATCTTCGTCATGTGCTTGCTAGTGACTGACTTCAAGTGATATTTCTTGGAGTTCTAGTGAGAAACCATGACCAGTTGAGTTCAAACGTCTCTGTTGTGAGGCAGTGGCTCACTAAAGAACTGGGTGGATGGTAGCGATATTTAGTGAACTGGTTGAATTTAGACATTAACTCTGTTAGATGACGGCTCAGTGGCCTAGAGGTTAAGTTCACGCGTGTAAGACCGAAAGCCCAAGGTTCGGGTCCCGCGTGCGAGATCGTGGGTGCACACTGCTGATGAGTCCCACAATAAGACGAGACAGTCGTCCAGTGCTTCCAGGTTTTCAATGGCGATCTAGCTTTAATCGATTTATGAATTCAACTATTAAATCATTACAATATCCACAAAAACTCCCTTTCTGTTATATTTATTTATTTTAGAATAATACTATTTCGAATAATTTCCCTATAATAAAGTAGTTTTATTTTTAAATTTGACACGTGAAGTTATTCATGGATTCAAATTATGATTTCGGAATTTACTTTGACACTTTGTTTTGTATCGAATAGATTTTTAGAGATAAATTAATTATCTACAAATTCATGTCTGTCTCTATAGTCACTGATAAAAGTAGGTTGAATTAGCTTTATTTATTCAGTAAATCAGAATTAATGTAAAATCAATTGTCTGAAAACATCATTAATCTAGACATATATAGACTAAATAGAGAGTACAATTTTATCAAAGGTAAATTTACTCAGTTATCAAGCGTTTTTTTTTTTTTTGGTTTTTTGGAAGTAATGGCTATATTGATACACTCAGTGTAATTCCATACATAAAGTATAATTGTTGATTGTATGAAAAACTTTTATATTAAGAGAAATACTTATTTGGAAAACAGTTAAGTTAATAAATCACGGTTCAATTTAACCGATGAATAGTGTGACATTGTAGAATATTTTTATTAAGTAGTGTGATATTAGAATGTTTATATTTTATTCTATTCAGATTTTAAAATAAAATCAGTGAGACTATAAGTTATGGACAACTTTTGAGCAATGCTAGACTGACTTTGACAACATCCACCTAATAACTAGGATCAAATGAAGGTGTATAAACCTGTTTGAAGAAATGGAATTCTGATTTCCAGTTGATGGTTAGGGATAGGAATTAGATTTAGAATTTTCATCACGAATTGATATCAGTTATAATGTCAAAACTCTATTTAGCTTTGTGGGTGAATGAATTTCGCGCCAAAATCTGAGACCTGTTATCTTATATCTGATTGGTTTGTCCATATCTTATAGTCTCGCCATAATATCTTGTCATGTTTAAAAAAATATTATTGAAATAGGAACAAAGTATTTAGATTACTTTTAGTATTTTTTTACATCGTAATTAGTTGTATGTTGGTCAACCGGGGTGATTGGTACCTGTGTGATGGCGCCACAGGATTGAGCTGTACTTTTCAGATTGTAGCGTTGAAGCCTATACGGTGTCTGATTCTCCTGTGAAGCAGAGTTGAGCTGTACTGCTCGGCTTATAAAATGTAAGCCTGGGTGCTGTCTGGCTCTTTTGTTAAACGGGGTTGAGCTGTACTGTTTGGATTGTCACGTGAAAGTCCGGATGGTGTCTGGTTCTCCTGAAAACCAATGTGAAATTACCCTGGCCCATAAGGGTATATTATATAACTGTGAACTGTAACTGAATTAGTTGTCTATATTATTAAATAATATGTAATTCCAAAATGTAAATTTAAACCGAGATACGAGTAATTAAGTAAGTATCGTCTTTAATAATAAATGCTAATATGAAAATTTGTCAAAAGTTTCTAATGTTTGTGGGTGTTGTTTTTTTTATTTCTGGGACCAAACGATAATATCTTACATTAATTAAATATATCCATCACATTGTATTTTACATTCAGCCAGAATTCAGTTGTCAGTTCTTTATATTATTAATTTTTACTTCTTGTCTCTCAGTTATTTAGTGAAACTTCTACTCGAAGGGTATGCTTTAGTAAACTACTGTCTGATATGATAGCTAGCTAGCATATTACTAATATATGGGAAATGTTGACTGAACTGTTTTTCGAAATTACCACATAGAACTTTAATCTATAAATATTATCCTTATTTGTAAGATTATGAATACTTTTCCTACTGAGGTATTCAGAACGTTCACACATATTATGAAGTTATTTTTATCCTTAATTCGTTCATCTTAGTTTTCAACACATCCGGATATCGATGTACATTTTCTGTTTAGCTCAAAACATAAAGGAAATCATTAGGAAACGTAATTATATAATATATTTGTAATATCCCGATGAGTAGGGAAAATCTTTGGTTTGGTTATTTACTCTCTGAAGAAGTGTATCACATTCAACTACGAAACGTCGTAAAATTTGATATTTCTACTCATTGGGATATTACAAATATACTATTCTATTTATAACAGCCTACCCAATGCTCAATTTATTCGAAATCATCTAGTCAAACCTTGGTTATGATACAAGAATCCCGCGAGTGGGATCGTGGGTGCTAACTGTTGAGGAGGTCTACAATAGGGCAAAATGGCTATCCAGTGCTTCCAGATTCTCAATAGTGGTTTAAAATCAATCAGTTCATGATCTTCACAACCCCGTACTGAGAAACATGATTGTTCTGTTTTTATACTTCTAACACAGATACTATTGAATTTCATACTGGCATCTTTTCTCTCGATCAGTTTATAAATCTATCGTTTATTAACAATTATATACGGCATAGATACAATTGTTATTACTGTAATACGTTTTACAGATTACAATAATTTGATTTTGTATTGTCTTTTTTTCAAAAATGGCTAAAGTTTATTTTTATACTTAGTTGATTTCATTTGATAAACTCCACGTATTTTTTCTTTCATAACAATTTAATGAAACCAACTAGATTTGCTTAAACATCCAATTATGACCTCGTTTGAAAACTTCATGCCGTGTAGACTTTGTCTGTTTAAAAGTCGTTACTATATATTTGTACTAAAAAATTAGCTAAATCAGAAGGGGTTTTTGTGTATATTATAGCAATTTCAATAGTTGAGATCATGAGTCAATTAAAGCTAGACCATCATGGAAACCCTGAAAACACCGGACGGTCATTTTGTCGTATTGTGGGACTCCTCATCAGTGCTTAATCATGATCCTGCCTCGCAAGATTCGAACCCTGGACCTATCGGTCTCGCAAAGCGAGGTCATGGATGTGCACTAATGAAGAACCCCATGCTAAGACGAAACGGCGGTTTTCCATAGTGGTCTAGCTTCAATTGGCTCATGATCTCAACTAATGAAATTAACTAATTGGTTCTAATTATCTTAAATAAAATATGTACTATATAACAGCCTGAAATCTGATTATTCGTAAAGAACGGGAATATATAATGAAAGTTGTAGATTTTTGAAATCAGTGATGATGATGATGATGATGATGATGATGATGATGATGATGATGATGATGATGATGATGATGATGATGATGATGATGATGATGATGATGATGATGATGATGATGATGATGATGATGATGATGATGATGATGATGATGATGATGATGATGATGATGATGATGATGATGATGATGATGATGATGATGATGATGATGATGATGATGATGATGATGATGATGATGATGATGATGATGATGATGATGATGATGATGATGATGATGATGATGATGATGATGATGATGATGATGATGATGATGATGATGATGATGATGATGATGATGATGATGATGATGATGATGATGATGATGATGATGATGATGATGATGATGATGATGATGATGATGATGATGATGATGATGATGATGATGATGATGATGATGATGATGATGATGATGATGATGATGATGATGATGATGATGATGATGATGATGATGATGATGATGATGATGATGATATCAACAATAACGATATCAACTGAAAGAAAGTTACATAAAAATAAAAAATTAGATAGAATCACTAATGTGATGATATTGGGCGATGCTATTATATGAGTTGAATGTTGACCGCGTTTTCTTTTTTAGCATATGATGATTTTATTATTTACAGTCTTCCAAATTAGAGCACATTGCTTTAAAGGTTTTCTTTACATTCATTTGATAGTTTATGTCAATAAAGTAACCTTATTGTAGTTAACAAAAATTATCAATCACTAAGACACATAGAATTGTATGTATTAACGGTAATTCTTATAAGTTTCTATTATAAATCATCATGAGTATATCAAGAATGTTATTTAGAATAGGTAAACACATATTACTGACCAGTTCATTTTGACATATTTTAATATGCATACCTTTTTTCTATTTATAAATAAATATATGCTGTTATAAATTAAAACTGAACAATTTCGTTTCATTAATTAGTATTATCCGGTCAATTAGCATGACCTGATTAATTAGATTGAAACATAAAATAACAAAGTTGAATATAATTTAATGTAACATTTTAATTTACTACTTATTTCATCGAGTGAATATTACTTAAATGACAGATCAATGTTAATTCTCTATAATGTTTTAATGATTAATAGCTAATTTCATCATACCTTAAAATAGATCTTACATTGGTTGTTTTTAATTAAACCTTTAAATAAACATCTATTATTTCAAAGAAGTTAGATTTCTAGACTGTTGATTTACTTTATATTACAAATATAATTCAATATAAAACTATCTATATTTCACAAGACATTCCCAACATATGTTCATGCAACATTTATTATTAGCTCAGTTACAAACGTTATTCAAGTTAACCTTAATTATGTTTATTAGATTCATATTGCAACATTAAAGTCATCTTAAATTTCAACAGTTGAAATCATGAGTTAAATGAAGCTAGACGACCATGAAAAACCTGAAAGCACTGGACGGACGTTTTTCGTCCTAGTATGGAACTTCTCAGCAATTTTTCTTAAATAGTTAATTTCTATCAAAAATCAAATAAATTTAAGAAAATTCTGATTAGCGGGAATTAGACAACAACCATGAAATAAAATCAAAGCTTTTTATATGATTCTCTTTACAGTTTTGTTAAGAATATAAATGAACTAATGTTGAGGAAATAAAATTTCAGACTTTAATGTGAATCTAATAACCTAATTATAGGAATGATTAATATTTAACATAAAGAGATAATCATTACCTTTATCTACAAAATGAACCTTTTGGTAAACTAATATTATTTCAAAAACTTCTGTAAATATCTTTTGTTTTTCATTTAATGGCTAGAAATGAATACCAGATTAGGGTTTTCTAACATTTACCAACTTTATAAAGCTTATTTAACTTCAGATATTGAAAACCCCTGGAATCACATAATATGTAGTGCTTATATATATATATATATATATATATATATATATGGGTTTTACAGTTAAATGGTACAAAATTAAGCATTTAGCTTTATAGAATAAAGACAATCAGTCAATAGGTCAGCTACAACTTAGGATCAGGTACAATATATACATCAATCTAAGTTGCTGCACGGCATTAAGACAACAAGATGAACATCAAATTCACAAAGACAACAATTACTTATGTTTCAAACACTATTCTTGAATGGATATAGGCTATTTTTTGCAGGGACAATAACTCATTGTAATTGAAGTTAATAAAAGTAATAGTAACTGTATATATGTTTAAATGACATGATTAAATACCTTCTTAAGTATTTATGAAGATAAAAGTATAAAAATAGAAAATAACATTATATAAACACTTAAGCTATTATAGTTATTCTCGTGAGACACTTGGGAATTGTTTCAAATCTATTTAGTTAAATATGCAAATTAACCGATAGTAATTTTTATTTTATTTAAGACTTATTAATTGGTTACCTCTAGTTGTTTTACTTATATTATGAACCAAGTATTGTAGATCGTTATTTATAATTTGAATCAAAGGAAGATTTCTATTATCCGAGTTGATGGATAATTCTATCTTTCTACTCATGAGTAAGTAGATAGTTTAAAATAGGAATAAAAAAAAGAAACCCTGGTCAAAATGCTTATTGATTCACAACAACATCTACCATGAATTTGATCAATTCTCCAAAATTAAGATTATCCAAGATTTACAGGAATAGATAATAGTCGATAATGAATGTCAATTTATAAAGTTAAATAACGATCTATCATCTATTCAATGAATTGAATATATATCTACATTAAATGATTCATAACATTAAGGGATGGTTAAATTCAAAGATCGCATTACATTATGATTCGTTATAATATAGATGATGAATAAATAATGATCATGTGTGCAGTTTATCAAATAATCAACAGTTTAATAAATGTGTATAAGGTGTGATAACTTGTGATTAAAAAAAGATATCCATCAGAATCTATGTTCTACAAAACCATAACATGAAATTTGGTAATGAACTACTCAAACGATAAGCATTATAGATGATTGTTAGTTATATTTAAAGCATCTTCTATGTTCTGTGTCCTAATGTTTATACTGGAAAGTTAGTTAACTTATTATTGAATGTATAGTCGTTGAATCATTCAGTTATGTTCGTTAAACTTGAATGCTACTACTGATTTGTCTTACTCGGAACGGAACAAAGAATCAAGGATTCAGAGACTCGATAGGCTACATTGATCCGTTGTCCCCGACTAGGCTAACTCGATCCAGAAGTTTTGGTAAGATGTAGAAAGTGTATTCTACAGACAACCAGAAGATACCAGGTCCGTCAAGCACACAATTCAAGCGTATTTATACAAAATATATGTAATCGATATTGCCATGGAAGTTTTTAAACTTTTAGTCGAGAAGTTCGTCAGTCGACTATGTGCGTAGGTGGTAAGAAATGCTCAAGCATACATCCGCATACAAGCTCCACAAAAATAAAATTACAAAATATGAGTTTTGGGGATCTAACGTCCCCAACAAGTTAGTAAGATAAAACGCTCTCAAAGTATGACAACTTTAGAGGTGACAAATAATCTCATGCTTCATTGCTAATAAGACTACTGTCAATAAAATGACATTCAACGCTTCTTTAAAATTTAGGATTCATTTTTCTCAAACGGTCTCACTATACTTATCACATCTGTTTTGTATGGAGTTTTTTAAAATATGCAACAACTGTTTTGGTTTCTTTATTCCAGTTTGGATGAGATAATCGTACATATGCACTTCTGAGAAGTTGCAAAATAGGAAGAAACGGTCATCCAGTGCTTGCAGGTTCACAATGGTGGTCTAAAAATCAAATATCATAAATGTAAATGTTAAGTGACTAAATTGAAAATTGTAATTCTTCATCTATTCATATGTCACCATAAAAAGACATAAATAGATACCATACAAAATAGAAACTTATATTACAATAATAATTTATAGAAAAGTAATTTTCTTTAGATATTTTATTAGATTCTTTCTTTAGACAACGAAAATCCAATAGGCTTCTCTTAGTTTTCAAATGAATCATTTTTTAATAGTTGAATTCATGAGTCAATTAAAACTAGAGCATCATGAAAAACCTAGAAGCACTGGATGGCCGATTCATCCTATTGTGACACTCCTCTGCATTGCGCATCCACGATCTTGCTCACGGGATTCGAACCCATACCAGAACGAAACGATCGTCCAGTGCTTCCAGGTTTTTCATCATAGTCTAGCTTTAATTGGCTCAGGAATTCAACTATTAAATTACTATAATATCCACAAAATCCCCTTTCTGAATTACATTTATAAATATGTAATGATACTAATCAACTATATTTCTTTTATAAATTAATGCTTTCAATATTTTAGTCTGCTTTGGAGACTGGCAAAATTCCATGTATATTTATCATACAGAAAAATTAGGCATTTCCGGTGTCTTTGATATTTAACATGCATAGTTTTATAACATGTTCAGTTATATTTGTACATATTTGAAATGACTCGCCGTTGTTGTCTTGAACATTATTGGAAATAAACGGTGAGAAAATGTTCCATGGAATTTAGAAAAGATGTAATATCTTCATCAATTTGATTTCTCGATTTATTACAATCATGAACTTGCCTTGCATTTTATGCTGTATGATTTTTACTCCATAATTCAGTGCTCTCACCACTTACATTTATAATTCGTCATAAATTGTATAAAACAATTCTGATAGTAAGTGTATGTGATATATATCAATTCTTTAACTGAAAGATGTTCATACGTGATATCTTATAAAACTTATTTTCATCTATTCAATATGCAAAAACCACTTATTGAAGTCTTGTACCTTATCAATGTGTGGATTTGTGAAGATTTTATCATTTTCATGGTTGAACTCATGAGTTGATCTAAGCTAGATCCTTATTGAAAATCTGGAAGCACTGAACAACCGTTTCGTCCTAATATGTAACATGACAGCAGTGCTAATCCATGACCTTATACACGGGACTCAACTCACGACTTTCGATCTCATTCGCGAACACTTAACCTCTAAACCACTAATCCATCATGCAATTGTGTTAATGTCTAACTTTAATCGATCCATGAACTTGCTCGACCCTCTTGTGTCCTAATCTGATTTAATTAATAGTTCAAGTTACAAAATATTAATAAATGTCACTCATTGCATATAGGTACATATTAGTCATTTTAATTATTACATTTTACAAGTTAAACTTCGAATACATGAGCAAGTTGGTGAACATTTACATTTTAAGTTTATTTTCAAACATCTACTTCGTAGAATTCACAAAGAATAGCCTAAGTAACTCCATTACTTTATTATTGAATATGTAAAATGCTAGATATTGTAGCTTATTCAATGTAAATTTTTAACGGTAACGTAAGTTTGACAAATTTCTTAAACCTTCGTAATAATAAGATGAATAAATAGTGAGAATTTGAGTATATGAACTTTTCTTTTCGACTAAACCACATATTATTTAACACAACACTGCTAGGTCTGAGGCTATCATGAGTTCACTTAATCTGCGAACGAGAACAAAGACTCAGTGACCAAAGACCAGAAAGCTAGCTATTTGATGCGTCTCAG